ATAACGATTAAAGCCAGATGGATTTGGTTCCGTAGTTCTTTACACCTAATTTTAATCTTCTCTCCTATTTTTTACCACTGTACCAGAGAACCAAATAAATTCACACCTAGTAAGAAACCTTTGACATCTTTTAATTCAACATCCCCATTCAAAGGCAGTAACTGAGGCATCCAAATTTTCTCTCAGGTGATAAGTCAACTTGAATATATAGGCTTCGTGGTAGAACTTTAAAACGGATTTCAGAAATGATCCTGGATGGCTCACACCTGTAATCCCAGCACTCCCTCAGTTGGGAGGATCACCTGGGGTCAGGAGTTCAAGACCCCACCTCTACAAAAAATAAAAATAAAATAAAAAATAAAAAAGAAACAATCTTTACCTTGCAATATTTATAAAAACTAATAATACTGACATTGATCGAGCTCAGCTGAGCAATATTGCTTATTAAACCAGAATTTCTGAACCAATCAATTACTAATGGCTTCTAACTCTCAACAAAATGCAATATGTTATATTTTTATTGATTGATTGATTGATTGTTAAAGACTAGTCAAGTGCAGTAGTGATAAGGGGGGAAAGTAGTAGAACAAGGAGTTCAATCTGTAACTGACTGTGAACAATCAAGTGAGATAACTCACTACCTTCGGATCAGCCAACACGTTATACTCTGACAGACACTCACTGCTTTCCACCTCCACCCTGCTTTAAGGAAGTGTTAAGTACTCAAAAAGAAAAAACAAAAAAGGCATAAAACACATTATATATATCCACATACAGGAAAATATTTCTAGCCCATTATGGATTCTACACTGTATCACAAAGGAAGCTACTTCCTCACAGGAAGTCTGCCTCCAACATGGAGTCTCATTCAATGTTTAAGGGAGATGTACTGAGAGTTTACTTACTTCCCAGAAACATCTCACCTTCCGACCTCACAACCAGCAGACATGGTAAATTGGCGTCTATAGCCTGTAATATTCTAAAAGTAAATTTCCTACTCTTTCCAAAGTGAAGCTAGGATTTTAATGTAAGTATTAAAGAAGTATGTTCTAAATATCTAAATAACTTATCTTTCAATTAGCAACAAAGGATAAGTGAGTGGGGAGAAATAAAGCGTGCATCAGCCACAGCTGACAAGTCTTCTGCCAACATGCAATAGTGCGCGGGGAAACCACAGTCACAGCACACGTCAACAGGAAGGCTAAGCACAAACTGCTGCAAAATGTTGCAAGAACACAATGTGTTCTTCCAAAGCAAAATTCAATGTATCTCAGGCAATTTTTATTTTAAAAAAATAAAAGCACTTTGAAAATACTTCTAGGCAGAAATTTAATGAACCTTAAGTATAGTCCTCTGTTAGTTAAGTAAAATGCAGGGCAGGCCTTCTATTGCTAGCGCCTCACTTTCCACTTCAGATGAGGTTGACTTACATCCATGGGAATTATAAAAATGGACAGATACTTACTATAAGAGTTAACTGAGAGAGGTTGGCAATCTACAGCTCAATAATTCACCCATTCATTCATCAAATACTTATTGGCCGTTTACCACCTACAGAGAATATGCTAGGTACTGAGTTACAAAGAAAATACTTTACAAAAAGATAGTTGAAGTAGTAGGGAGGGGAGGAGAATAAAAGAACTAATCCTTAGATAAAGCTAGGAAGAATGTGGCATTGTTTTTTGCTTCTGTACCACCTTTCCCCACCTCATCCTGACCATCCCAATCAATCACTATAACAAATGCCAGAATTCTGAGGTTCTACATAGCATTATTGTTTTCTTGCACTGTTCCAGAGAACACTTTACAATAAGGTTAATAAGACTCACTGCAGGGAATAAACAGATGCAGAAGTGTGGAAAGGCTGCCAACCTCTAGATTAACTGTTGATCCTAAAAAGCTGGTTAATGACATCAAGAAAGAATAAATAAGCCATTGTCTGTCTTTATCTCAGCAAAAAAGCTGCTAAAATGCATGTGGCATTAAACTAAAAAAAAAAAAATAGGTAGTACTACAAAATGAATGAAATGCAAATTAACAGAAAAAGCAACAAAAAGAATTTTGTTTATTAGAACTCCCACCCAATGCCTCTTTTGTAAATAAAATCAAAAGTCTAGAGCAGCAATTCTCAATGTATTGTCCAAAGATCTTGGGGTCCTGAGACCCTTTCAGATATCTGTGAGGCCCCCCATTTTCCAAATACATGTCAGTATGACAGCAGATTTTCTTCATATATTTCAACCAAAATCACAACAGACTGAATGCAGAAACAGGCATAAAAATCCAGCTGCATTCTATTAAGCCAAACTATGAAATAAACAAAAATGTAAAGCAAAGCCATTCTTCACACTACATTTTATTTTGGAAAATACAGGTATGTTTCATAAAAGTATTTATGCTAACATGCTATGGGTTTATAATTGTTATGTTTAAATGAATCAAATATTTTTTAAATTTTTACTTGTAATTACTAACACAATAAATATCAATACATATAATCATGTAAACAAAGCTCTTTGGAATCC